AAAGAACGAAAGAAGTAGATGTGGACCAATAGAAAACACATCAGTGGCTAAGGAGAACCGGGTTGAAAGTTGAGACAGAAGGCCTCACAACCAGATCTTATCACTGTCACATAATCAAGGATAGAACTAACTCTAAATCCATGATCTACGGAAAATATGATGAAACTGTCGACCATATTATATCACAATGTCCGAAACTAGCAAAAAATGAATATACCCAGAGACGTAACAAGGTAGCGACATATGTGCACTGGAAGATATGCAAAAAGCACAAAATCGAAACCATTGAGAGATGGTATGAGCACCAACCAGACACAGTTAATAAAATTACGATGTAACTATCCCCTGGGATATGCCAATTCACACTGACAAGGAAATAAAAGCTAACAGACCTGATATTATCATAAAAGACAAGAAATTCAGGAAGTGTATGCTTATTGACATAGCTGTACCATCTGAGAGAAACACCTCCATGAGAATTATCGAGAAATTGTCTAAATACAAGGAACTGGAGATCGATATTAACAGGATGTGAAGAATGAAGACTGAGACTGTATCAATAGTAATCGAATCTCTGGGACTCGTGAGAGAAGGAATGGACAATTTTACTGGCGGCGTCCCAGGTAGCATCAACATAAAAGTTGTTCAGAAAATCGCCCTGCAAGGAATATCCCATATACTAGGAAGAGTATTATCAATTAAATGACAATTCTCCTATAGTTTGGACCCGTCTCTACAAGATACAAAGCAGGAGACACAAATAATAATAATAATAATAATAATAATAATAATAATAATAAGAAGAAGAATAGCAATAGTAACAACAACAACAACTACAACAACAAAAACAACAAAATATGCCTTAAATAAATACAAAAGATTGTATGGACTCTTAGGCTGTTTTATTTTTTATTTATATTTTTCAGTAGACAATATCAAGATATCATTTCTGACCTTAGGTCTTTGGTTGGCACCAAGAAGGAAATGAGTATGCAACAAAAATAAAAAATCAAAGGAAATAATAATAATAATAATAATAATAATAATAATAATGTTCTTTTTATAAGGTTTTAGAAATTGACAATTATTATTATTATTACTATTATTGAATATAGTCTTTGGTATGACGGAAAACATTTAACAGTAAAACCTATGATCGAGTGGTTTTGAAGAGTGTGTAATCCACCCTAATCCAGGCTGGTAGCACCTGTTAGCGTCCCAGCGATTGGCAAATTGAACAAAAAACAAAATCTATGAAAGTATATAGTAAAAATACCAGTAATATTTTTTATATATAGAAATTACAACAATACAAATTTATAGTAAAATTACCAACATATTAACAAATTGTAGCGACTTCACCCAAATCTTCACCCAAGAAAATTAAATTTCGGCATTAAATGACCCATAAGGAGTTAATATGACATTAAACAGAGAAATCAGTCTATTATTAAGTTCTAACGTAAAAGCCCTGCCACCGGCAGCTATGTCCTGTCTCCCCGGTGGTTCTGGCCGCTAAAAGAAAACCATCTGGTCCTCCTCCGCTGAGTTGAAGGAACCACCACTATTCGCCACGTTGTGAGTTTTTGATCCGAACAGCAGTGTCCCGATCCTTCAGAACGGTCCGGTGGTAAAGGATGAAATGGCTGGGTTTTACGCTGTAAGGAATCGCTATTCGTGCAGAAAAAAATTCTTGTCGTAACTGCAAGGACATAAAAAATAAGCAACACTTTCCGTTCCTGTACAAAGAACCTTTTAAGGCTACTTTTTTATGTCACTACCAACGAAATTGCATGAATACAAAGTGTCTTAACGAGAATCACTCGTTTGGATCGGAAAGTCACAGAGAGAGAAAGACGATTATTATGCTGATAGGAATTCAGCTGATCTAAGATAGGTAATTCGTGGATCTTCGTCTGCACCCTACGATATAGCAGTTTGCTTTCTCACAGCTTTGTTGACGAAGTTATCTGGATTCGTACGGGTTCTATTTCTATCTCTTGGTTCGGATCGGTCTTCTTGATGCAGGACAACCAACAGACCAGACCAGCCAAATCCACCAAGCCGTTTTCCGCCGCTTCTCTTCGCTCTCTGTCCGCGTTCTGTTTAACTCAAGCGTCCAGGCGGCTTATACATAGTGGGGCGGAGCTAAACAATTTTTAGGCACCGCCCACGAATTTTAATATGCAAATCGCCTTGACCACCATGTGTTTCCGCCTAATCTCAGAAACTCTGCGGGCAACCAGTTCTCAAGTGGTATTAAAAATGAATTCGGATTCCCTGCTGGGTTTTTCGCAGACACCATCTACTTAAGCCTTGCGAAAAGCACTTATCTCGTCTAAGGACTTTGGCTGGATTTCGCCCTGCAGACCACCCAAAATACAATTCACCATTTATCACAAGCTTTACTTAACGAACCCGTCCATTAATTACTCTGAAATTAATTCACCTAATAACTCAACCCCAGAAACAATTAAAAAGAAGCAAAAGAAAAACTTATTTCTGGAATTACTCCAGAATCCCTTCTACCCAACTAATTAGTACCTTCATCCCAATCCTTTAGAACTGTTGATTAATAAACCCACCTGGTGGGGGAGGGCTCTCTCTCTGTCACAAAGTAATAATTGTCAAATTCCAAAACCTTGGAAAAGAGAACATCGATAGGGAAAAAAAAAAAGAATAAAGGAAAGGATAGTATAAGAGAAGCTAAAAGCGAGCAAAAACAATGCTGATCTGTATAGAGTTTGAAAGGAACACCAGAATCATTAAGACAAAGAATTCATGGAATTGGTTGACGAAAGGCAAATTGAAACGTGAAACGAAAAAAGCCTATTGGTATTCGTCCCAAACCAAACAATGAACATTAATTCTGCTCGAGATCCTGTGCCTAAAATAAGTTCGGGTGGCAAACTGAATCCCTGACGTCTTACCAAGTTATCAGTACTTTGTTCTTTTTTACTTGTAAATACCAAGTTTGCTAACGTCATTGATGACTGCGTAATATTACGAAATGTGACAAAAGTACATCACCTGTCCTATGCAGTGTATTTGTGCTAAAGCGCAGCCATATCTTCTCCCAATACTTAGGGGTTAATAACAGAATAAACTGGGCTTGCTAGTCTTTGTTGGTCTAGTAAAAGGACAACGTTAAATCAGGCCAGAAGAATGGCAAATCAAAATTCAGCCCAAAGGAATGGCAAATCAGAATTCAGTTTACCAGAAAGGGAAAATCTGAATTCAGTCTAGAAAGGCAAATCAGAATTCAGTCGAGAAGAATGGCAAATCAGAATTCAGTCTACAAGAATGGTTAATCTGAATTCAGTCTTGAAGATGG